TAAAAATAACATTTTTTAAAATAATAATAATTTGGTCACTCAATCCACGGCTGTTTCGAAGATACTCCTATGTGCAATTGGCTGCCGTTTTTCACCCACAAATTCACTTTGCAGCATATTCTGTGAAGCGCTTTGAGACGTCTCGAAGACGTGATAACAGCAACAACAAAATTACATTTGTAGTGCCTTTGACGACGGGAGGACATCCCAAGGTGCTGGACAGACAGAGTTACTGATCTGAGCTGAGGGTCGAGTGGGGGAGGGGGGGAGGGCAGGAGAGGGAAGCAAGAAGATCAAAAGCATGGTTGAAGAGGAGGGTCTTGAGGTGGGTCTTGAAGGTGGTGAGGGAGGGGATGAGACAGAGGGACTGCGGGATGGAGTTCCAGAGGGTGGGTGCAGAACCCTCCAATCGTGGGGTGAACAAGGTGGGGGACGTGAATCAGGCTGGAACCCGCTGAGCGGAAGGAGCGAACAGGGTGGTTGTGGGTTAGGAGGTCGGAGAGGTAGTGGGGAGCAAGACTGTGGAGAGCTTTGAAGGATCTTGAACTGTATCCTCTATGTGATGGGAAGCCAGCGGACTTGGGAGAGGATGGGGGTGATAGGGTTGCAGAGCCTAGTGCAGGAGAGGACACAGGCTGCAGAATTCTGGATGATCTGGTCACCGATGGACAGAGTGTCATTTGTCACTTTGACCAGGGCAGTTTCTGTGCTGTGTACGGCATGGAAGTCTGATTGGAGTGGTTCGAGAAGGGAGTGGCAGGAGAGGAAGGGGTGAAGCTGAGAAGCAACAACTGGTTCCAGGACCTTGGAGAGGAAGGGAGGTTGGAGATTGGGCGGTAGTTAGGGAGCAGAGAAGGGTCCAGGGAAGGTTTTTTTAAGGATAGGAATGATGACAGAAGTTTTGAAAGGGGTGGGAACAGTATCAGAGGACAGGGAGAGCTTAATGATGTCAGTGAGTAAAGGGGCAAGGAGGTGGAGCTGGGCGGTAAGGAGTGGGGTAGGGATGGGGTCAAGGGAGCAGGTGGTGAGTTTTGTACGGGTTATGGTGGTGATGAGAGAGGAGGGGGAGACGGGTTCAAAGGTGTGGAGGGAGGGGTGGGTAGGGGTTGTGGTGGGAGGAGGAGATTAGGAGGGGTTAGCAGTTGCAGTGGTAGAGGCAGCTGAGTGGAGTCCCTTGACTTTGGATTCAAATTAGTCCGGCATCGCCTTGCAATTCGCGTTTGAGGTGAGGATGGGTGAGGAGTGAGAGGGTGAGCTGAGGAGTCGGTTCGTGATGGACAAGAGGAGCCTGGGGTTGTCCTTAGCCTCCAAGATTGTCTTGGAGTAGAACGACAATTTAGCAGAGGCGAGGGCGGAGCGGTAGGATTCGACATGGTCCAGCCAAATCTGCTGGCGAACAGTTAGGTTTGATTTAAGCCGGGTGCGCTCAGTGGAACGTGCCTGGGCTTTAAGGGAGTGGAGGTGACTGGTGTACCAAGGTGATTCGCGTGAGTAGGAGACGGTTCGGGAAGAGAGGGGAGCGCAGGAGTCAAGAGTGGAGGAGAGGGAGATGTGGAGAAGGGTGACCGAGGAGGATAGGTCATTGCGGGAGGGGAAGGAGTTCAGATGATTCCAAGGCAGCCGAGAGGGAGGGAGGGGAGATTTTTTTCCAGGGGCGGTATAGGATGAAGGTAGGTTGAGTGGCAGTGGGGAGAGAGATTGAGGAGTTAAGCGAGATGAAGTGATGGTCCGAGTTCACTTTGTCGATGATGGTGAGGTCCAAGATAGTGAGGCCCCGGGGTGATCACCAGGTCGAGGGGTAACCGCGGACGTGGGTGGCAGAGTGGATGTGGAGGGAGAGATTGAGGGAGGAGATGAGGGAGGAAAAGTGAGCAGAGGTAGAGCAGGAGGGGGTGAAGTGAAGGTTGAAGTCGTCAAGGATGAGGAGGCGTTCAGAGCAAAAGGAGAGGGAAAATAGGAGGGTGGAGATGTCAGGCATGAAGGTGGGGGAGAGCTTGGGCGAGCGGTAGATTGAGGGAAAGGTTGGAAGGGTGATAGCGGGTAAGGTGCTCAAAGGAGGGGAAGGTTCCAGAGGAGTACAGGGATAGGCTGAGCGGGGACCGGCTCACCAGGACTGCAGAAAACAGGATTTTTTTCCCCGTTTTGGCAGTCTAGTTGGGGCCTCCACACGACTCCAGCCTCCAGCCCGCCACCATTTTGGATTGTGGATAAGGATAAGGGCGCTGTATCAAATCAAGGATTATTATTATATACTGTATCCTAAGATATTGTTTCCTAAAAGAAATCCACCTAATTTGTTCTTGAAAGAATAGAGGCTGAGAATTGCAGTCTCGGCACTGACCTCGGTTCCGTGGTTGACAGTGTACAGCACTGATTGAGGCCAAGGACAAGTCAGCAACACTCACAGCGTGTGCTGAAGAAATGGTTTTCTCAAACAGCAATATTCTCTTCATTATCTTTATCTCTTAAACGTAATGTTTGTAATTAAGTGATTTCTCACTTGGCTGCGTCCTTAATACACTGTTACACCTAATTTCAGCAAATAATATTTCCCAGGATGATTAAGCTGATGTGTCGGGAACTCTGAGCTAATGTGGTCTCCCCACGTCTGTCTTAATTTCCTTCCCCCCCTCCCCCCAGGTGGAAATAAAGAAAAGGGGCCAACATTCTCCCAAATAAAATTAGCTACTGACTTCATGACTGTTAGTGTGAGTAAACTGGCTCATCGGCAGGACTTGAAAGAACAGATCAGTCACTGGGGGCAGAGAATCCTCCCACTCAGCTCGTGTTAACTCTGAAAGCCAAGGCCCAAATGGGCAGAGTGGTCCTAGCTGGACAAGCAGCGGGAAAGCTTGCCAGACAGTGCTCTCAACGGCAAGCCATGTGTCTTTAGCTGGTTAGACTCCAGCAGTTACTTCAATGCACACTCTGGGGTCCCCAAGCCTTGGCTCCTGCCAATCAGTGCCTAATTAAGTTAACAGGATATGTTCTTCCAGGGAGAGAATGCACATTCCATTCCAACAATCTTTAAGGCCATCCATGGCCTTGTCCCCTCCTACATCTCTGATCTGCTGACTCCCTACCAACCTGCCCGCTCCCTCCGTCCATCGGGCTCCGGCCTGCTCCATGTCTCCCGCCCGACCCGCCCTACCATCGTTGGCCGGGCTTTCAACCACTCTGCCCCCACACTCTGGAACTCCATCCCACGGTCCCTTCGCCTCGCTTCCTCCCTTGCCTCCTTCAAGGCCGGTCTCAAGACCCTTCTCTTCGACCGTGCCTTTGGTCTCCCTCCCACCTCTCTGCCTTCCCTCACCACTCCCCCATGCTCGGACCCCAACACCTGACTGTTCAGCGCTTTGGGATGTCATCCCGACGCGAAAGGCGCTCTATAAATGTAATTTTGTTGTTGTTGTATCTCTGGGATTTCCATGTGTAGGTGGGATGTATGGAATTCTCAGTTTGGTTTGGAGACTCAAGCATGGTGATGGGTTTCCGCATGTGTCAGACAACCGTGCTTGAGCCCCCAAAAATGATGGGACTTGGAATCATATAGTCTAAGCTGACGCTCTAATGCTGCACTGGGGGTGTGCTGCATTGTTGGAAGTGCTGTCCTTCAGATCAGACGTTAAACCAAGGTCCTGTAATCTTCCTGTTCAGGTGGATGTTAAAGATCCCATGGCACCATTCAAAAAGAGAAGGGAGTTCCTCTCTCTCTCTCTCCCGGTGTCCTAGTCAACAATCCCTCAAATCAAATTGGTCGCTCACTTCATATATATTTTACGGGACATCGCTGAGCATAAATTGACTGCTGTGTTTATCTACAAAGTACAGAGTCAATGCACTCTACGGTATATCCTTTGAGACATCCTCTGATGTGAAAGCCGCTGTGCCAAATGTAAGGATTGTTTATTTATAGGATTATTATTGTATCAATCGCTCGCACTCAGCAGTCGCTGCGATCACAGGGTTGTGGGTTCAAGCTTCACAACAGGGACTTTGAACTCACCGTGGTAGGTGGGCATCCCACTGCAGTGCTGGGGGGGAGGGCCACATTAGGAAAGGTGCCATCCTTCGGGCGAGACATTAATTAAGAAATGTCCGACAACCGTCACGAACAACGGCTCACTCACTTCACTGACTGTCTTCGGGACGTTGCTGTGAACAAATTAGCTGCAGCGTCTGCCTGCAAATATAGTCCCTGCACTTGACAGCAATTTCCTGTGAAGTCTATTGAGATGTGTTGACATGAGAGGTGCTGATTCAATGCAAGGCTTGTTATTATTAGCAATAAGTTAGTGATGGGTACAAAGTTGGGAATAGAAATCCTTGGATGTGATCCAGTGCCTACAACGACTCAGGGCACTTCACAGGGAGCTGCTTAATTGCTGTCAAGTGAAGTGACTGTGTAATTTATAGGCAAACCTGGCAGCCAATTTTCACACGGCAACGTGCCTCAAACAGGCAGCAGCTGAATGACTGAGGATTGTCGGCCAGGACGCTGGGAGAAACTTCCTGTTTTTATTCCTGGGAAAGTCTTGCAAGATCTTTACCATCCACCTGGCCAGGACACCGGGAGAGAGAAACTCCTTTCTCTTTTCCAATAGTGACACGGGATCTTTAACGTCCACCTGAACGGAGGAGCGGTGACCATAGCCACAAGATGCTGTGTTGAGCATTGAGTTTGGTCATCCTCCTACCCACACCTAACCTACCCTCCAACCCCTCCTGCTCCCAACCCCCAACTCGGGTCCAAATCCCTGACTGTCCCAGCACCTTGGGACGTACTCCCGACATGAGAGGTGCTGTGTAAATGTAATTTGTTTTTGTTTTTGTAACTGTCGTTTCGCCCACAAAATACACAATCATTCCACTTTACAATATATCCTGTGAAGCGCTTTGAGACATCTCGAAGACGTGGTAAGGCGCTTCATCAACTGCAAGGATTATTGTTAATATAACTGGCCTGTGCGTGTGTGTGCGTGTGTGTGTGTGTCTTGCAGACATCCCGTCCATTAAGGAGTCAAACGGGAAGACCTTCACGGTGAGCAGTAAGATGGGGCTGCGTGTGGATCGCAATGATGACGGTGTGGCTGTCAGCTGTACCGTGGACCACGTGTCTCTCAAGGCCTCACCCCAGGTTGCCACCCAAGTGCTCAACATCCAGTGTAAGTCTGACCTGGCTTTACCTCACACTCCACACCGCCAATCACACCCACACCAACCAGCCACACACCGCCACACTCCCTGCTTCCTTCCCTTCCTTCCCTCCCTCTCTCCCTGCCTCACTCCTTCCTTCATTCCCTCCCTCACTCTCTTTGTTTCTCTCCCTTTGTCACTATCTCTATCTATCTCTCTCTCTCCCTTTGTCACTCGCTCTGTCTCTCTTCCTTTGTTGTTCACTCTGTCTCTCTGTCACTTGCTCTGTCTCTGTTTCTCCCTTTGTCCCTCGTTCTGTCTGTCTCTCTCTCTCTCTCCCTTTGTCACTTTCTCTGTCTCTCTCTCCCTTTATCATTCACTCTGTCACTCCCTTTGTTCACTCCCTTTGTCACTCACTCTATAACACTCATTCTGGCACTCATTCTCTCTCTCTGGCACTCATTCTCTCTCTCTGGCACTCATTCTCTCTCTCTGTCATTCATTCTCTCTCTGTCACTTGCTCTCCATTCTCTCTCTCTGACACCAACACCTGTACTGACACCAACACCTGTATTGACACTCGCATGCTGCAGGCAGGATGTGACTAGGAAGCAGGCAGAGGGTGTCACTGCGCTGCTGGACATTAGATTAGAGCCGTACAGTACGATTTTAGGGAGAAAGGAAAGAACAAAAGCCTCACCGGCAAAATATTTCCATCTAAGCCCAGAGTGGAAACGAAGGCAGATTGATGGCTACTAACACGGAGTCGTTCAGCCTTTCATTGGAGCTGTGGGAAAATGACCGAGCTCGAGATAGATGGGACCACACTGCTGAAGGTCCTTGAGGCCCACTTCAGGTGTTAACACTCGGCCACGTGCCTGTGACAGGCGGTATGGTCCTGCGATTACTCACACACGGCACACGGTCATGCCGATCTCACACCCCCACAGATAACAATCTGCACTTTATAACCGTCTGCCTGTTCAAGTGACCTGGCAAGTATTACGACTGTGAAATTGTAATCGAGGATTATCAGTAACAGTTCACTTTGCACTTTGGAGCTCTGCATTGTTGACCGAACTTTTGGATGAGACATCAAACCAAGGCCCTGTCTGCCTGTTCAGGTGGGTGTTAAAGATCCCGTAGTTGAAAAAGAGAAGGGAGTTTCTCTTTCTCTCTCTCTCTCTCTAACCCGGTGTCCTGGCCAACAATCCCCCAGATAAAATTGGTCCTTCACTTCATGGCAGTTTGCTGTTGTGTGCAAATTGACTGCTGCGATAACCCACAAAATGCACTATCAACAAACTTTATACATTATTATAATAATCCTTATGTTTGATAGTTGTCAGCCTGGCTCAGTCGGTCACGCTCTCGCGTCTGAGCTCAAGCCCCAACGTGGGGTCTTTCAGCTCACGACGCAGGCCTCTTCGCCAGCGCCTCATTAAACCCAGATCCCATCTGCCTGGTCAGGTGTCCTGGCCAACAATAAACAGAGAGAAATAAAATGATCGTTCACTTCGGAGGCTGTTTGTGGGACTTTGCTGTGTGCAAATTAACTGCTGTGTTTGCCTACACATACAGTCACCACACCAGAGAGTAAATCCTTGTGAAGTGAATTGAGATGTTTTGACATTCTGTAATGACATTGCTTTTATTTGACACAGAGGAGGTATCATCAAAACCTCTCAAAGAGCTTCTTATGGACATACTGTCAAGTGCAATGAATGTGTATTTGTCGGCAAGCATGGCAGATAATTTACTCACAGCAAGGTCCCACAAGTCCCATCAACAGGCAAGAGAATGATCAGTTTATCCGGATAATTGTTAGCCAGGACACCAGGAGAATCTCCCTATCTCCTTTCTAATAGTGTTGAGGGATCTTTAACATTCGACCTGAACAGATAGACGGGACCTCGATTTAACATCTTCATCTATGTACAGGAGCCTGGAAGGTGAGTTTAAAATCCCGATGTGGGGCTAGAGCCTACAACCTTCTGACCCAGAGGCGAGCGAGCTATCCACTGAGCCAGGTTGACAGTATCTACTTAGCTCCTTTCATAGAAAATAAATCTTCAAAATAATTTACAGGGACAGTGTGGCTAAGTCAGTAGATGGGAAGAGGGAACGGGGAAGGTGACTGGAAGCACAGTAAAAGGGGTACAGTTGTGTGACAATGAGAGACACTGTGAGTGACAGTGAGTTACATTGTGCGTGTGATAATGGGTTTCACTATGAGTGTGACAGTGAGAAACACTGAGTGTAACAACGAGAGTTACACTGCGCGTGTGAGTGTGTCTGTTTGACCCTGGTCCTTGTGTGGAATTAACCTTGTCGCTCTCCCTGTTTTCCTCGCTCAGATATGCCCTCTGTGAAGATTGACTTCTCCAGGAACTTTGCTCGGGAAGGAGATGAGTTGAGGTTGGAGTGCCGCGTCACTGGGAACCCGACGTAAGTGATTGACGTTTGTCATTTCATCATCGTGATCCCAGCTCAGATCCAGTTCCTCACACCATCCCAGCCTCGGCCCATCTTCAACATCACAATATGCGCTGGAGTGAAACTGGGTAGAAGGAATCCTAGAGAATAGAAGGCCATTCACCCCATGTTGCATGCGCTGGTGATCGCTCCCCCACTGGAGCTCTCTACTCTAATCCCATTCCCTGCTTTCTTTCCCCATAATTTAATATGACGTTTCTCAGCTAGTTATCCTGTCCTTTTTTTAATCGTTGTCACAGACTTGAGCTACACAGCCTCGGTGGTGAGAAATCCACATTCTAACACCTTCAGAGTCAAAGTAATTCTTTCCAGCCTTCCATTTTGTTTTTTCCAAAGGCACTGAGGGAGAGGGAAGGGTAGGGGGGGAGGAAACCTGAGGCCTGAGAGAACACCGTCCTGTAAACCATCAACTTTACCATAATAACCCACAAGCTTGACGCACTTGGAGGGGTCACTGGCCTGTTACCCATCCCCTGTCCTGCCTGCTCCACCATCGACGGTCAAGCCTTCAGCCTTTCTGGCTCCACCCTCTGGAACTCTATTCCCCAAATCCCTCTGCCTTTCCCACTTCTTCGCCTCCATCAAGATCCGTCTCGATACCTTCCTCTTTCTCCGTGCCTTCAGTCATCCTCTCACCCCCATACCTACCATCCCTCTTGATTCCAAACCCCAGCTCGGTTGCAAACCCCTGATGTCCAGCACCTTGGGAAATCCTGCCGACGTGAAAGGCGATGTGTAAATGTAATTGACTTCTGCTTTTCACCCACAAAGTACAGCGTCAATCAGCTTTGCAATATACTGTGTTGAGCGCTGTCAACGATATCAAATGCAACAATTATTATTTATTATCATTTGTTGTTGGTGTTGGCTGCAGGGGATCTCGGGTGAGGTGGGGAGGAGAGAGGGAGAACGAAGTGACACAGTGTGCCATAGGCAGGCTCTAAACCTGAAAAACAAATCCGTCTGAATTGCCGGGGAAAATCACTGAACGTGCAGTTAGAGGCTCTGACAGCCCGCAGATGATCCTTTTTATTCAATTTGCTGTAAATTGGTGTCCCGCTCTTTGAGGATCTTACAGCAATAATTAACTTGCATTGTGCTTTATTGTGTAATTAAGATAAGGTCTCAAACGTTTTAGCTATACGCGAACGGCTGTGATGCGGGGAAGCTACTTCAGGAGAGGAACAGCTGGAGATCTCTGCAGCCACTCGGAAATGAATAGAGATACTTGAGAATAAGCCTGTGAGCACACAGTCAGCTGCCGCACCCCATGCTGCCCTGATTAAAATCCAATCCTCCCGATAGCATCTATTTTACTGCACTCCCATATCATATCCCTTGCTTGCTGTACAGTCAAATGAATCTACTACCTCGTCAGCGGCTGCTCAGTTGGTGTGAGGTGCTTGGAGATGCATCAAACCCCCTGCACGCTCCGCCTGAAATGTAGGAATCATTATTATTGTTCTTAATATAACAATAATCCTTGCATTTAACAATGCTTGCATATTGGCTAGAGCGCTTGCCTTGTAAGTGAGAGGACCCAGGTTTGATTCCTGGGCGGGGTGAAACTTTAGGCACGATTCCTTACTCCACACAAGTAGGAACACAGTAGTTTGATTGGTAGATCGCTTTCCAGGGGTAATAATTCATTAATAATAATACCCCCTTGTAAATAATAATAATTTGGATACTCAATCCACGACACAATCAATTCACTTTGCCGTATATCATGTGAAGCGCTTCGAGATGTCTTGACAGCAATTTGCAGGATATTATGTAAATGTGGAATGACTGTGTATTTTGGTGGTGAAACATGGCAGCCTATGTGCATACAGCAATGTCCCACAAACATTGTGGGTAGTGAATGACTAATTTTATCTGGGGGTCTATTGGGCAGGGCGTGACTATATGAGAGACACCAACACGTCAGTTTGGATGCAGGTGGAACAGTCATACCCAGGAATTTTACCAGTTGTGGGACCATTTGGTCTTAAAATTTGAAGCGGTGCCAAAATATTAGGTCAGGGCTGAATCCAGCATAAGTGTGCCTTCCAAACTTTATGATAATAATCCTTGCATTTGATGTAGTGCCTTATAATGTCGACGAGACGTCTCAAAGTGCTTCGCGGAATATATTGTTAAGTGGATTGACTGATTATTTTGTGGACGAAATGACTACTTGACTTAAGAAGTTGCCGTAATCTGTCCTAAATTCCAAGGCAAGACGGTATGAGAGCTGAGACTGGGTGCATTTCAGACCCTGTTTGAGTACTCTTAGGTCACTCTGAGGATTGTTGGCCAGGAGACTGGAAGAGAGAAACTCCCTTCTCGTTCTGCTCAGTGCGAATAGGTTCTTTAACATTCACCCGGAAAGGCTGATCTCTTATACTTGTTGGCTTCTGAGCTGGCCAAGGCTGGTGTGGGAGAGGAGACGGGCGGAAATGAAAAGGAAAAGGCTGTGGATGAGGAGGTGGGGGCATTGCTCTGTGTACAAAACAAGCCTGGCAGTGTCACCTCCTGGCAGCAATCAGGCACTGCACCAGAGGTACCGCACACCTCCGCCTCTCAGCCTTGTCTGAAATTCAAGATCAGGCAGAATTCTTTGGGCTTAACAACCCTTTTCCGCAGTTCTTAAAAAATGAAATGTTCCCTGAATTTCAGACCAAATCAAAGAATTTTCCATCTGTCGGTACATCAACGCCAACAACAACAAATTACATTTGTATAGCGCCTTTCACATCGGGAGGACGTCCCAAGACCCTGGACAGTCATGATTTGGACCCGAGCTGAGGGTTGGGATCAGGAGGGATGGAGGGCAAGGAGGGTGGTGGGGGGTGGGGTGGGTGACCAAAGGTGCGGTCGAAGAGAAGGGTCTTGAAGGATGCAAGGAAGGGAGTGAGGTGAAGGGATTCCGGGATGGAGTTCCAGAAGGTGGGGGCAGAGAGGCTGAAGGCCCAACTGCCAATGGTGGGGCAGACTGGGTGCGGGCTGTGGAGCAGGCCGGAGCCCGCTGAGCAGAGGGAGCAGACCGGTTGATATGGGGTTATCAGGTCACAGGCCACAAGGCTGTGGAAGGAACAGCAGAAAGTGTCCAACTGCAGCCTCACAACCTCCTGTGTAAACTAACCTTGTGAGGGTTGTGGGCTGAGCGCAGCGGGACAGAGCAGAGGGGACGCTGTGGGAGGTTATTGTAGCTCGCTCACACAGCCCCTGAGTGTTGCTCTCCACACAGGCCCGAGGCGGTGAAGTGGAAGAAGGACGGTGCGGAGCTGCCCGATCCTGACAGGATGGTGGTGGAGGGCAACATGCTGATCATCAGCGCCCTCAACAAGACTGACAACGGCACCTACTACTGCGAGGCCAGCAACCTGCTGGGGGAGAACACAGCCGAGTACATTCTCTTCGTGTATGGTGAGTCACCGGGCAAATCCGTGCTCTGTCACTCTAACCCTCACTGTAACCCAATCCCTGCTCTATCGCTGTAACCCAATTCCTGTTCATTGTAGCCCAACCTCAATGATTCCAACCTCACTGTCCCTCACTGTATCCCAGGCTCCGCTCAGGCCCGGTGTAGGGTCAGGAGCACTTTCCTCAGTCCATTTTCATGGCAGGTTTCCCAATCCCATTTCCCAAACCCCTTTAACCCCTGGAGTTCCAAAGGGTGGTCTGCACCCCACTCTCTGGAACTCCATCCCACAGTCCTTCCGCCTCCTCCATTGCCTACTTCAAGGCCTGTCTCTAGATCTTCCTCTTTGACCTCGCCTTCGATCACCCTCCTATTCCCACCCTCCCTGCCCTCCACCACTCCTGATTCCAATCCCCAGCTCAGGTGAAAATCCTTGAGTGTCCAGCGCCTTGGGACGTCTTCCCGAAGTGAAAGGGGCTGCATAAATGTAATTTGTTGTTCTTGTTATTATCATGGCAGGATGTCAATCACATTTCCCATACCCTTTAACCCCATCACTTCACAATATGTCTCCCCCTCCCCTTTAAACATCCTGCTCCATTCCTGCTTCCCACACCCCGACTCCCAGCTCTCGGTTTGGGTGCCCGAGCCAGGCTTCTCTTTATGTGGGTGTCTCAATGAGAAACTTAACTGTTTCGTTTGGGCTGGGATGTTCTGTGTATAGTATCACATGTTCTCTCTCCTCTGCTCCAGACTACTAACCACTTCACCCCCACACTCATCACACCAACCTTGCAGTCTGTAACAGTGTGGTCACCTGATCCGCAAGATCCAGCCTTAAGGTGAAAGGACCAGACCAAGAGGTCAAACCATACCCAGTATGTGTCCTGGGATAACTGCTGGAGTTTGACCTGCAAACAACGCATGATTTGCCATTGAGACCACTATTTGTCCGGCTGTCCAGCTACCCGTTAGGGCTTTGGCTTGCAGGGTTAACAGGAGCTGAGTGGGAGGATTCCTTGTCCCCAGTGACTGGTCTGCCTTTCCAGGTTCTACAGATGATCCAGGCTGGGCTGTGCCATCATCAGCAGTGCCCTGGAATACGGTGGACCCCGCTGGCTCAGGAACCGGATTAGAGATCGCGACAGAGGGCTGGCTCAATTCCGATATTCCCTTGCCAAGTTCAGCTCCAAGGAAGCCCTACTTACACCCCCCTCCCCCACTCCCAAAAGCTCTTTACTCACACACTGACGAGCATGGTGTAGCCGGCTTCACACACTCACGCGCACACTTCTCTCACTCTGCAACGTTCTGAAACAACCCCAGGCGCCTTACAATAAACAGCAGCTCTGATAGTTCTCGGCCAGTGATGTGATTTTGTGCTGGCTGTCAGTAACAGAGATAAACGACGGCAAGTCTAATGGGCGAATTCATTAATCCTGCTTATCAGCAGCGCTGCTGTTATCAGCTGCTCTCTGTGCAGTGCCCGGCTCTCAGCCTCACTTTACTCGGAGCAGATGTTAAGCTAAGTTTGCTACGTGGTCTCCAGAGCGCTCACTTGATGTTCCGAGCGGATCAGTAACACAGCCCTTTTCCCCGTTCCCTTCCTCACACCGCAAGCCTTCCTCACTGACAGGCAATTACAGTGAGTAATGGCTGGCCCAGGAGCACTGCGTGCGCTGACTTATGGCTGTTTTCACCTCCCCATTTCAAGGCATTTGCACAGATCCAGGACACTGGGTCCATGCTCACTGATGTCCAGCTGTGTGTGCTTATGTCACATGTAAACCATCAAACTCCTGGAATTCACTGCTTAACACAACATGGCCTCTCCCCTGTCTGACTCCTTGCTCCCCCATGTAACTCCCATTCCCTGCTCTCTGCCCATCATGTCCGTGCTGGTGCTCGCTCCCCCACTGGAGCTCTCTATTCTTAATCCCATTACCCGCTCTCACCCCATCGTTTTTTCCAAAGACACTGAGGCAGCAGGAAGGGTAGGGGGGAGGAAACCTGAGGCCTGAGAGAACATCATCTTGTAAACCATCAACTTTACCATAGTAACCCACCAGCTCAATGCACTTGCTGTGGTGCTCTCTCCCCATCGTGCCTCTGCTGGTGCTCCTTCCACATTTGGAATATGTGTAAAGCTTCATTTTTGTGAACGCTGTTATATTTGAACAGCCTCTTGCAGTATATTCTGGCTATCTTCCCATTCCCAAGAACCTGCCGGGAGCTCCCATTCCGACAGCCGGTTTCTGCAGTTCTTAAAAGCTCCAACTTGAGACTGGAGTAAAGAATTTTGCACAAATTGGCTATGTTTTAAAGCAGTTTGACGTGCTAATTTCAGGCCAGGGCTCCATGCTCTATATTGTCACGTTGTCTTATTATTTTAAACACAGGGATCAGGTCAGCCCTGGAGGTGCTGAGCTGTGGGGAGAGATTAGCAAGCAACCCTTCTCCACCAGGGGTAGGGAGTGTGGGGCTGGGGGGCAGTGTTGGGATAGAGAGTGTGGGGGTCAGTTGTTGGGGTAGGGAGTGTGGGTTGGGGGGGGGTTGGTCAGTGTTGGGGGAGGGGGTGTGGGGGTTAGTGTTGGGGGAGGGAGTGGGGATCAGTGTTGGGGGAGGGAGTGTGGGGGGGCTCAGTGTTGGGGTGGGTAGTGTGGGGGGAAGGGTTACAAGAGGACATAAGGTTAAATTTACATTAAAATAATTTAGAACTGAAACAACTTTACATGTATATAATGGCCTTCCCGTGGGGCAGCGCTTTGGAGTACTTGAAAGTGGTGGAGCCTGACACCAAGCCTGGAGGGTGAGAGGAGGTGACCGTAAGCACGGTTGAAGAGGACGATCTTCAGGCGCGATCTGAAAAAAAAGGGAAGGAGAGGGCAAGGCGGAGGGATTGAGTTCCATAGTTTCGGAGCGTAGTGGCTGAAAGCACGGCCGCCGATGGTGGAACGGAGGGAACGATGGACGAACAGGAGACCGGAGCCAGCCGAGCAGAGGCAACGGGGTGGTGGAGTGGGGCATAAACAGGTCGAGGTAGGGAGGTGCCAGGGTGTGAAGAGACAGGCTGTCTCAGGAAATCATGATGGAGCCTCAGGAGAGAGATTTAGGGAGAATGGAGAGATACCTTGGGAGTGAAAATATCAAGGATGTGGTGAGTAGCTGGGATCATAGAGACCTGAAACATAGGGGACTTCATTGCTCATCATTGACCTTCTGTTCCTCATCTCCTGCTGATTCCTCCTCTTTCAACCTTGCCTTTGGTCCCCATCCTATCCCACTTCCCTGCCCCTCACCCCTCCTGATCCCAACCACCAGCTCGGGTCCAGGTTGGGGTAGGGAGTGTGGGGGATTGGGGTAGGGAATCGTCCAATGGCTTGGACGTCCTCCCAACATGAAAGGCGCTATACAAACGTAATTTGTTGTTGTTGTTGCTGACGCCTGTTTGGCCCCAGCCCCTGACTGATGGGTTGATTATCTATCTGCCAGGCAGATGTGACTGGACGTTGGTTTAGCAAAGACCCAGGCCTGAGTGAAGCTGGCTGATGGGTTTGAGGTGCTCAGGTTGGGTGGTGGTGGGGAGCTTCCCTTTTCCCCCTTTCGTGTCTGGTACCGCTTCCGTCCCATCATGTTAGAGGCCAGAGTTCTAGCCTCGACATCCCACAGGTTAATTCAGAGAGAAGCCAGGAATTGAAAGGAATCCAGAGATCTGAGTTGAGCCTCTTGTCTCCCACAGCAGAGTAATGGGGGTGACAGGGACTCACGTGTAAAGCAAATGATATTGATTTAAAAGGAGCAAAGGTGTTTACTCATTCGGGCATGTGTGTGGAGCGCTGATTTCAGGTGAAATCGATAGCTAGTTAGAGAAGCGGAGTGTGCGGGAAGCGTGCTTTAATCCTTAGCACCATTATTCGGGATCTGTATTAATGGTGTTCCTGCCTCTCAGCACCACGGAGAGCTCACAGGAGCTCGGGGCTGAAGCTCCCTCTCTGTGAGCTTCCTATCTCTTGTGTGAGCGACCAGCCCCTGATAGTGTCACTGCTGTCTTCCACACTGTGAGAGCTCACGCACAGTCAGGTCCTTTCACATCCGCGAGAACGGGGCGTGAAGGAGTAAGAGGACACGGCAGCTGAACAGACCCTTCAGAGCAGACCCTCAGAGCAACAACAACAACAACTTGCATTTATTTAGCATCCCTCACGCAGGGAAGTGTCTTGGCTCTTGACAGTGGCGGAGCCTGATGACGAGCACGGTGGGAGGGGAGGTTTGACCGTAAGCACAGTCGAAGAGGAAGGTGCAACCTGAAGATGGGGAAGGAAAGGGCAAGGTACAGGGATAGTGTTTCAGAGTTTCAGGGCGTAGTGGCTGAAAGTGCGGCTGGCGATGGAGGAATGGAGGGCATGAGGGACAAGCTGGAGGCTGGAGCCGGTCAAGCGGAGGCAGTGGGTAGATGAGTTAGGAGTAAGCAGGTCAGAGAGGTAGGGAGGTGCCAGGGCATCAAGGGATTTGAAGATGAGTGTGAGGATCTTGAAATCGATCCTTGCGGTGACCGGGAGCCAGTGGAGCCTGGCGAGAACCCTCAGAGCAGGCTCACAGATCACTGACTCACAGCTCCAGAGCGAAGTCTCAATGTGCTGTGTGCTTTATTGTCTGAGTGTGTAGCAGACTGAACCCTGGCTCCTGGCACACCTTAGAGTCATGACAATCCTGGCAGCATCAGCCATAAGACTATTTTATCTTATAATTGTATAGAATGTCTGAAATCCAGTATTATTTGGAAGTCATGGCTTCCAAACCAAGGCGGAACTGAACAAACCGTCTGCAATTCTGCTCCACCTTAAAAATATCGACAGTTTTCCATTTATACAGTGCCGGGAGGATGCCTCAAAGAGCTTTAGAGAGCTGACTGGGAGCTGGGGATGGTGGAGGAAGGAAGGTAACATGGTGGTTAGAGCAAGTGAGATGACCTGGGTTTGATTCCCCAACGGGGAAATACCTTAGGCACGTTTCCTTATTGCACACGCCTGTGTTTACCTAACAATAAATAGGGACCCGCTTGTTAGTCAATTGGTGGATCGCTTTCCAGGTGTAATAATCCCTCAAATAATCCCTCAACAATAATTTGGCCATTCAACCCATGACTGTTTGTGGGACACTGCTGTGCGCGATTGGCTGCCCCGTTTCGCCCACAAAATACACTGTCAATTCATTTTACAGTATATTCTGTGAAGCACTTTGAGACGTCTCAATGACCTGATAATACAAGGATTATTATTTGAAGGTATGGGAGGTGGGAGGGAGAGATGTCGCCAAAAGTAGCACATCCGCTCTCACCCACAAACAGACTGCTAATCTTCAACAGCATTTTTAGTAGTTCACATTGTCACCTTTATTTTTCTGACATGTTAAGATGGAATGCCGCTATTTCATGTGTGTTTGTAACATAACGGGATAAAGCAAACCCAGGACTTTTTGTGTTTAATTCATTGCATGCCGTTGCTCGATTTGAGTTGTTGTTTGTTGTTATTATTATTTTTAAATTTTATTTTGGTTTCACTTTGACTGTTTCAAGCTTCTTTTCTTTTCTTCCCAACAACCACAGATGCCCTCAGTTCTGCTCCGCCTCCCACCACGGCCTCCCCCTCCCTGCCCATTGCCACGGTCACAGCCCCCGCTAACCTAGCCAGCCGTGCCAGCGTAGGGGCAGCAGTGACCCGCGCACGAGGTACAGTATTCCCCCGCTGCTCTCTCACGGCTTTCCTGCATTAGATAGTAGTGCTGTAGTTTGGTAGAAAAAAAATGTCATTTCTACTTCATTTTCTTTTTCCGAAATGATTTGAAGGCATTTAAGAACTCTCTAAAGCCCTGGAATAAATCCTCCTCATCACAAAATACACAGTCTATTCACTTTACAGTGTATCCTGTAAAGCGCTTTGAGATGTCTCAACGATGTGTTAAGGCGCTGTGTCAACTGCAAGGATTATTATTATTATTATTGGCACCACCATTTTGGGGTGGAAATTCCGTTCAGCGCCAAGTCACACGTCGTAACACAGAACAGAGGGTTTTGCCCCCTTTGGTGGACGATTTAAGGAACGCGCAAGGATTGTGGAAAATCCCAAATCCCCATTTTATTCGGAAGCTGGTTTTCCAGAGTTTCAAAAAGAAACCGCCTTCAGATCCAGGTCAGGATTCCGGGTTTGTCACTATTCCGCACAGTCCATGGCCTCTCAGGCAAAGAGCAGGGGCTCACGGTCTGGGGTTGGAAAGGTCAGACGGGTTGAGAGAAGCAGGAATTCGGGGCTGGGTTTGGGGGAGTGGAAGTGGTCAGACAGGTTAAGCCACACTGGGTACCCATCAGTCATCCTTTACACTGCCGTTTAAGGAGCAGGGTTACAATAGCGCACATCGCATGTGTCTTTCCATTACTTCAAAGTCTCTGCTGACAATTCATGGTCTCTGTCTGCTGTGCAATTCACAGCCACTGGTCAGACTGGCACTGTGATGCTCTACATTCACGAACCATGGACCCCAATTCTGCCTGGTATTTGAATTCCTTCCTTGCCTATTTCCTCAAGTCACTTCCTATCCACCACCAGCAATGTGCTTCATATCCACTGGGAGACAGGCTGGGATCTGGGATGATTCCCCAATATCCAGAGGCAGTGCCATGCTCTTTGCCCCCCGAGTGTGACAGCAATGCCCACCCGGGACGAATCAAAGGAGCCCGAGAGGCCACTTGTCCCAGTTTCTCCCACACTCTGGTGGGCAGTGAGTCTGGCTGGGCGAGGGGGGAGGGGCTGAATGTTGAATTGAAGGAGTTTTAGTTTGTGTGGGAGGGTCAGGGATCCTATGATCTGTCATTCATTCGATCTGTCAAACAGTTAATCAATCAAGCATTTAATCAGTCAGGCACTTGCTCGTCTGGTAATCAATTTGGCAGTCACTTGATCTGTCAACTAGTTAATCAATCGATCTATCAATTGATCGATCAATTATTCAAACAACCAATCAATCTGCCAATTGATCAGTGAACCAGTTCACCGATCAATGAATCTTGTCAACAATCACTCGATCTGTCAATGAATCACTCAACCGAACTATTAATCACTTGATTAGTCAATCACTCAATGTGTCAATCATTCAATTTGCTAAACAATCACTCACTCAGTCAGTCACTGAGCTCACAATGGGAATCGACAGAAGATGCTGGGATACCCCCACCCATAAACCCGACTGGTCTGGGCTTGGGTCTGTGACCTGGGTTTGGCTTGGTTCAGTGCTTGGTTCATCCCTGTGTGACCCAGAGTCACCGGGGACGCCTTGCCCCCCCCCCGCCCCCAAGCCAGGGTGCCTTTTACCTGGGGTAACAGGCCTGTGGTGATGTGTGCGCTGATGAATGAGTTCAGTGTCCTGGGTGTTGAGGTTGCATGCTCTCTGCATGGCTTCCTATGCAGTGTCCCTTGTCTGACCTCCTGTGTGCTGAGTTGGGCTGGAATGATGCATTACTGTTTTCTCAGTTACCGCTGTGTCCTGCGGTCCCATCATGAGCCTCGGCAGCATGACGGGACAGCAGGACTTGCCATTCTCACTGATCATACGGATTAATGGACGAACGAACAGACTGCATAGCTTTTTATTTTTTATTTGTTTTCACGTTTGCCTTCAACCTTTTTTCTCGTCCATGCCATTGTTCCCGTCACCTGCATCCTAACGCCCATCCCGCCTGCAGCCTTGACGACATCCACACCTGTAACCACCATTGCGAAAGGTAAACCGTCAGCCTCGGCTTGGCTCGAGTCTCCACAGCGACCTGTTCAGGTTGAGCAGAGGACCAACGGGCACCTCAGCCGCTCTGGGTTGGCACTGCCTCTTGGTCTAAAGCTCAGGTCCATTCCAAACTGGCAACATGGCAGATGGGGGTGGGGGCCAGGGGAATGGAGAACACATTCTGAAATTGACCATCTCAAGCCCAGCATCTCCTCGGTGCCTGTGGAGAGGTCAGTTTGGTGGTGGACAGATCGATTAAGGCCCCTGGTTGCTGTGGAGTGTTCGTCCAGCTGTTTGCTGTGTTTTCAGTCTCTGTCCTAGGCGTGTTGTTGTGATTCCATTTACCCACATTCATAAGCGTGGATGTCTGACACGAGGACGCTTGCTTACACCCAGCCCTCGTGTCAGGTATCTGTATTTATACCACACTTTTCCAGATAAACTCCGGCCCCTCCCGGAGCTCAAACCCAGCCAAAGCTGCACTGGGAGGATCAGGCACATATGTGGGAATCTATCCCTGTGATCAGCCAGGCTTGTGGCACACAAGGAAAGTCATCACTGCTTAAGACTAACCAAACCAGACTTGAGAATTGCATATATCTAGGCCACCTACATGTCTGGAATGGAATGCACACTCTCTCCCTGGACAACCTGCATACCGAATTCCAGAGAGTATTTCCTGGGCAGGACAAAACCTTAGGCAAGTTTCCTTGCTTCACACGCTTCTGTTTACCGAGCAGTAGGTTGTTAGTCGATTTGCAGATTGCTTTCCAGGAGTAATAATTCCTTCAAAAAAAAACATTTGGTCACTCAATCCACAACTGTTTGTGGGACACTGCTGTGCGCAATTGGCTGCGAGTTTTGCCCATAAAATACACAGACAATTCACTTTACAACATATTCTACGAAGTGTTTTAAAATGTCTCGACGACGTGATAAGGCGCTATTTCAAATTCAACGATCATTTATATATTATTAGGTGCAGGTTGGCAAGAGCCAAGTCTAACCAGCTAAAACCGCATAGTTTGACACAAAGCCAAGCTCCCTGCTGCTTGTCCAGCTAGGACCAGCGTATCAGATACAGTCACCATATGGAGGAAATCTCCATATGTGAAGCACGGTGATGGGTTTCCATCAGGTGTCAGGCACCGGACCGAGAAAAATAAGTTCTGTGCCTTTAAGCAGTGATGGATACCCTGTTAATTTGGTGAGAATGAAAGAATAATTGTGGGTTATGTAGCAAATTCATCCGTGAACGTGTGGTACAAATACACTGTAGAGTACAACTCACACCTCCCTTTATATTGTCAGTCAAGTGCATTGTTTGCCGTTGATATTTACTTCCAGATTGTGAAATTGCTTTGAACTGAATTCTTCCCAAGGTCGGCTGGCTTGTGCTTTATGATTTTTTTTATTTAAAAAAAGAAGGATTTTAATCACCGTAAATGGAATTTCAGGCATCTGATTTGAGTCTGATCGGAATTTGTTCCACATCACAGTCCCTCCCAGAGCATAGCATGGCTGCTGAGTGTCCATCGATGGTGATGCTCACTCACTGGGGAGTTGTCTCTTCACCAAGGCCCTCCCGCCTTGGTTTAACCTCTGCCAAACTCCGTACTTTTCAAAATCCAGCTTCCAAAGTGGTCTCAGAGCAGGCGGAATTTCAGGCCTCAGATCCACAACACGTTGACACACTTAGCTGTTTGCAAGGCACAAATCGTGAAGAAGGTAGGAGGTTGTCTGATAATGCTGACTGCAGTCTGTTTCACTACACTTCCTTGTCATCGTTGTCGTCCCCTTCCCCCCCAGAAAGACCACATTGGACAGATCAAGCTTTTTTTTTCAGTCAGGTATCTGACACGTGCAGAAACCCATCACCATACTTAAGAGAATCCAAACCACTCTGAGAATTCCACGCATCCCACCTACACATAGAAATCCCAGAGATAGGTTGTTGGAATGGAATGCGAATGCTCACTCTTTTCCTGGAGGGACGATTCCTGCTTACCTAATTCCGGAAAGTATTCGGCGTAGGTTGGCAAGAGCCAATGCTTGGGGACCCCAGAGTGTGCGTTGGGATAACTGCTCTGACGTATCTCTCCTGTATAATCTGGAGGTTACAGACAGTGTTTTGTGTCTGGATGTGCGGGAGGTAAATCACAGCAGCCCTAGTTCTGTGGACATATTGATTGGGATGGGATAGGGCGGGTCAATGCTGCCAGGGTAGGCCAGCTTCAGTGGCCCTGAGGCAGAATGTTGTGGGATCTACTCCCAAATCGGGACTCTGAGCTGACTGTCGAGGCTGACACTCTTAGCATGTTACTGGGGAATGCTCCAGCAGTTCTGTCCTCCGGATGAGACTTTAAACCGAGGCCTGTATAAACTGTGCCTGTTCATGTAAAGGTCTTGTGTGACGTTTTAAAAAAAAAGAAGGGAGTTTCTCCAGGAGTTCTGTGGGATTTGGGGGGAATGTGTGCGGTATCACTCATATACTCTTATCACACACACTCTCACTCACACGCATTCTTACTCACACATCCTGTCTCACGTGTGAGACATAAATCTCTGATCTATCAGCATTGAGTTTAGGATCCCTAGGGAGCAGACATAAGAGATCCCCAGGGGCTGACACTATAAGCACAGTATTGGGAGAAGCACTGAACTGTCAGAGGTGTAATCCTTCGGATGAGATTTTACGCCGAGGTTCTGTCTGCCTGTTCAGGTGGATTTTAAAGATTCCCATGATGCTATTGGGAAGGAGAAGGGAGTTTCTCCCATTGATCTGCCAACAATCCTTCAGATTAATTTGCTCATTCACTTAATGCTGTCTTTAGAATGAATGAACCCCTGGACAACTTAGTAAACAGTATGACAGGAGACAATTGCTTTGAGACGTGGAGCTTGATGGTCACAGGATCCCAAGATTGTTTTTGGGTGAAGACAGCCCTTTGGCCCATCTGTTCTCTTTATCCCGAACACCTACCCTACCATTTTCTCCATTACAACATCATTTTCTTCAAATGAGTCCAGTGTTCTTGTCTCACTTGGTACTTACTGGTAACTGGTTAATTACCCTCCGGGGTATAAAACTTCCTGATATCTGTCCTGAAATTGCCCTTTTACACTGTGGCCTCTTGTTCTTCTGTCTTGCTGAATAAGAAAGTACTGTTCAGAGTTTACATTCTCAATCCCATTTCAAATCGTGTCTACCTTGATAAACTCCCCTCTGAGATGATGCTTTTCAGGACTGAAGAGCCCTAACTTGTCAATCCGTAGCTCATAGCTTATTCCCCTAACCCTGGTCCAGGCTGTGCTCATTACAGCACAGAATGAGAACAGGACATTCATCCAGCTCATTAACCGTGCTCCCTACACACAGCATCTCCATGTGTGTCCTCACCCTCGGTGTGTACAGCGGTGACTCATGTTTGAGACCAAAACTACTTCTTTGTCATATTCTACCCAAATCAAAGAGGGACGGAGGGCAGGAAGTGGAGGAATAATAATATTCCTTGCATTTAATATAGCGCCTTATCACGTCGTTCAGACGTCTCAAAACTCTTCGCAGAATATATTGTAAAGTGTGCATTTTTGTGGGCGAACTGATAACAGTTCATTTGATCATGACAAGATGTTTGATCCTGTTCCCCTGACCTTTTTCACCTGACTCCACAACTAAGTGAAGTCCTGGAGCTCAGTGCTCGCATTGCAAGCGAGAGACCTGGGTTTGATTGCCGGGCAGGGCGAAACGATGGGCTAGTTTCCTCACTCCACACGCCTTTGTTTACCTAGCAGTATAAGTAGGACTTGGTTGTTAGTCAATTGGCGGATTGCTTTTCCAGGGGTAATAATTCCTTCAAAAAAAATAGTAAAGAAAGAAATTGGTCACTCAATCCACGACTTGTTTGTGGGACACTGCTGTGCGTAATTGACTACCACGTTTTGCCCACAAAATGTACAGTGAATTCACTTTACAGTTTATTCTGTGAAGCGCGTTGAGACGCCTCGAAGACATGATAAGGCGCTATATCAAATGCAAGGATTATTATATTTTTATATTATCAAGTGTCTCCCTATCTCCCTCTGAAATATTCCATTGAAGCTTCCTCTCTAGCCTTCAGGTCAGTGAGGCCCACATCCCGCTACCCCTTTGGGTAACAAAACGCTTCCTGACTCTAGGACTATGCCTCTTCCTTTAGATCCCTCCCCAGAGGGCAGACTCAGTCATCAATTCCCTTCATTATTTCATACATTTTGATCATATTACCCCCAACGCTCCTGTAATAAAGGGAGCTCCAGTCTACACAGCTCCCTTCACATCCTGTTATCACATTCTCTGACAAAACAATCTAGGATTCTTTGGCAATAAAACAGCAAATTTCATTTGTATTGTGCCTTTCACTTCACAATTCTCTGAGAATACTGTCTGGGATTCTCTGGGAATATAGTGTGGGATTCTCTGGGAATATGACAGGATGTAGAAACTATAATAAATTGTTAACCAAAATGAATCACCGAGGAATTTGAGGAATGCCGGGGGTGGAGGAATGACTGATCTTATTTAATAATAATCCTTGCATTTGATATTGCATCTTATCAAATCTTCGAAAACGTCTCACAAGACTTGCTCTGAGTGCAGTGACTGTTTTGTAGGTAAATGTAAGACAGAGCGTTCCTGAGGGTGACCCAGGGACAGAGGCAGTGTGGAGTCACTTCCCTGAAATGTGAAGGCAGCTGCGGAGTCTGTCTGCATCCCACCTGCTAGAATATTCATGAGGACATCGCCATTAATGTTTCCATCCATCAGCTCTTCAAACAGACGCCTAGTGTTAATAATAAATGTAATGTGCACAGGGAGGAGGCAGAGTCCCCGCCGAGACAGGGCTGTATAGAGAGCGACAGCCGCTCTGCCTGGCTACAGACATCTCTCAACTTACACAACATGGAGTTTATCCATTCAACCTCCAGGAGCATCTAGTCACACCTGGGGGAACGTCTGTC